GGAACTGCTGGAACCCTCGGAAGACCAGCCGGTCAAGGTGCTTGTGAAGGTCACTTTCCAAGCGGGAGCTTCTGTAAGGCAGCGGTGACTCCATGACAGGCCAAGCCTCTTAAGGCAGGCCTAAGTTTCGTTTCTCTAACAAAGTCACTCTCTCCCCCGAAATGACGCTGACCACACCTGGAAACGCCCGAGTGATCACAATGACGCTGACCGCACCTGGAAAGTTCTGAGTGACCACAATTGGAATGTCCCGAGAGTGGAGCCAGCCAACCAAAAAGACCTGCACAACCAATTGTCTCCAGATGAAGTCATTGTGGGGATAGTTTCACCCAGTTTATGTAACCTGTAGAGTATAAAAGCTTCGCTTGTGCCCCAGGCCGGGGTCCTTGTCTTTGGTGGCCACGGCGTTGGTGCTCTGGGACTTGGGCCCTAGCTCGAGCTAGTCAATAAACTCCTTTGTGGTTTGCAGCCTCGGGGACTCTGCCTCTCTGTTCCTGGGGCCGAGGGATAACAGGCAGTAACACATCTACTCTGCATGCACAGGCGGGAGGCCATCCGCCAGGCCCTGCTCTCAACGCATGTGGGTCAGGCGGGGATCAGTATTTTTAAGGTCCCCACGTGACCCCGGCGCTCAGACGCACGTGGGTCAGGCGGGCATCAGTATTTTTAAGGTCCCCACGTGATCCTGGCGTGCGTGTCTGGGCCGGCAGCGACTGACCAAGTCGATGACCCTTCGAGAGACCGTGGAAGCGAAGATGGACCGATGCGCGAGTCCGGGCTTAGTCCGTCGGCCGGAGATCCACGGGGAAGGAGCGGACTGGCAGCCGCGGAGGGCGGGCGCAGGAGGAGGAGGGGGAAAGGAGCTCCAAATAAAAATAATGCAAATTCTTAAAAAGGAACTCCGAGCATCTGTAATGCTGGCCGGAATGGTCCTTTCCGTTGTGAAGCGGTTCCGCGGTGCATTTCTTCCCCCTAAAGGCTATTCTAGGAGGACACGTGGGCCTCGCTGGTGTGTGCGTCCAGTCTCCCTAAGCGTGTTACGTGCCTAAGGTTCGGAGCATTATGTTCGGAACCTTTGCGCGGATTGGGGCGTTCCCGGGGCACCGTAACCCTGCTCCTAGCAGAACGAAGCACTGCCAGGTCCAGTGTGGTCCTCCCCATCCCTGCTCAGGGAGAGTCCAGAGCGCTTCCACTCTGCCGGTCCATGTCACCGAGGCTCTTCCTTTGGTCCCGCGGACCCTTGACAATACGGAACACAGCGCACCTGGCCAGGTGTGTTCAGTCACCTCAGCGACATGCAAAAGCTGCCCCAAAGACGCAGGAAGACTGCAGAACGGATGCCTTTACCTTAGGAATGCACCGTGCAGTGCCGAAAGGAGGAACAAACCGGTCGTGAAAGGAACAGGGCTGGGATGCACTCTGGGAGCTTGATGGGGAGACTTGGTTGGTCTCGGGTGTTTTAGGCATTATCTGCATTGGCGCCATGTAAACCCCAGAGCTGCAAATGTCTGTCTGTTTCGGTCTCGGTCTCTGTCTCTCTTGGGCACATGTTATCTTTTGTAATTTCCAGTTCTTTCTAAATTTTTAAAATAACAAATTATCCGAATTTGGTACAACAGCACCACCTGGTGGAAATTTGTAGAAAAGGACCACGTTTGATTTGACTTGACTGCAGTAGATTTAAGCACTTGACCACACTCCCAGAAAAGCTGCCATTTGAACCCACGCAGCAGCGCCTTGGAAGATAAGCCTACTTGTACAGTTCAGAAAGATCGCAGCCCTGCGAGATCTCCGGAGGAGTTCCAGGAGAAAGCAACAGGTGGATTACCATGTATTGGAACGGACTAGATGGCAATTAACAAAGGTGGTTTCAGATCTGTTCATCCACTGGTGCATCCCTGGGAGTGTAAATGGTTAACATGCATTTGCTACTAACCTAAAGATTGGTGATTTCAGTCCACCTAGAGGCACCCTAGGGAGGAACCCTGGTGTCGTGGTGGTCCCATGTTGGGCAACTAACTTCAAGGTCAGTTGTTTGAAACTACCAGCCACTCCATAGAAGACAGACCAGACTTTCTACTCCATAAGCAGTACAATCGTGGACACCCTGTCCTGTAGGGCTGTTCTAACTGGTCTACCCTGTCCTATATGGTTGCTGTGAGTTGGAATCAACTCAATGAGCTGGTTTTCTGAGAGTCACTGTTTGTTAGGCCGGGTGGATTAGAGAAACAAAACCAGGGACACTCATATATGTGTAAGAGAGAACTTTCTATCAAGAAGTACTTATGTATCAAGCAGACATCACAGCCCATTCCAGATCAAGTCCTTAAGTCCAATACTAGTCCTTAAGTCCCATACTAGTTCATAAATCATCCTCAGACTCACACAGCCACAGCAATGCTGCAGAATGCAGGAAGATCACAAGCCCGGGGGTGCAGTCTTGTGGATTCAATGGCGGCGGAAGCATCTCCAGGGCTCTTGCAGATCTCAGTGTGCTTCATCAACAGGAAGATGAAGGCAGAGAGAGAGAGAAAGTCCCCAGGATCCTCCTCACAGGCCACACCCACCAGGAGGCCCCATCAGGCTGTGACCTGATTGTGACCTGTGACCAGGCTAGACTCCACCCCTACACTTTCATATCTTCATGTTCACGTGGAATAATGTAACTACCACACCTTGGAAGAAAGGCCCGATGATAGACTTCTGAAAAAAATCAGCCATTGAAAAACGTGAATGCATCACCATGAACTGGAATCAACTTGGCAGAAATTGGTTTAACTGGTTTTTACCCAAGCCAAAGACATGTCAAGAATTCAACAATTCCCAAACTCATCGATCATGGGGCCGTTGCCCTCTTCTTCCGTGCTACTTGTTAACAGCTGGCACAGAGTTCTCTGTTTTTATTTCTTTGGGAAGGATTGTTCCATTTTAATTAGCAAATTAGCTCTTTGGCTGCACACGATGTTCAATTTTCAAATATGCTTAGTCATTAGTGAGGATGGCATGAACCGCTCTTGAGTGATTAACCCCCGGAAGCTACTGAGCTGACGCCACATCCTTAAGCGACTTCATGCTCATCTTCTTCCACCATGACTAGCTGAGCGGAGGGGAGGCTACCATTAGTATTAGCAGGAAGTGTGCTTAGCCTTCAATTAAATATAATGAGCTTGTATTGAGTGATGGCCACGCAGTTTTCTTTAGAAGGATTATGATGCTCACTTGGCTACAACTGAAGAAGATCCTAGGTGATGGGGATTTAAATGTTTCCTATTCATTATCTCCTGATAATTTATGAGCCAAAATGCTGACAGCTGGCATCACCTATGTAAATCAGCATGGGTCTACGAACATACACTCAATCTAAAAAAAATCTTCCTTTATATGACAAGTGGTTTTAACAAAAACAGAGCCTTGTGCCTGAATCATTAGTACTGGATTTTCGAAGTCTACTAATACATATTGCATCCTTGCTGATTTTGAAAACATGTCTAATTGAATGTTTGTGCAATAGAAATGTTATTGAACCTGTTCCAGAGATGAAATTGTATTTTGACCCATAGTCTCTGGAACCATCTGCTGTCTGTCACGTCATGCCACCTACAGTTTTGCTGTGGGGGCAGGGGTCCTCAGGGCTTGGACCCACTCACTCACCAACTGGGTGGCCTCCAGAGCCGTGCCCCAGTGCACAGAGAAGCCCCCGCTCCCGTGGCCGTAGTGGTGGACAACAGGCAGCCTCCTGCCATCTTGGACTAGGAGCTCTTTCTGCAGCTGCACACCTGGCCTAGACGGCCTCAAGCCAACCTTCTCCTTTACGTCATAGGCTCCACGCAGGGAGGGCTCAAGAGCACAACACCGGGAAAAGATCTCCCTGCTAGTTCCTGGGTCTGGGGAGAGCTCCCAGTCTCCCTCTTGCCTAGTTCCACCCAGGGTTACATTGGATGCGCCCGGGTAAATGTAGGTCAGCCCACTCTCAGCTCGGATAAAATGCTTCACCCATGGGGCCTGAACTTTGAGCACTTGGCCCCGCACAGGGAGAATCTGTGAGTCTCCCACAAGCTCTCTGCTTCCAAGGCCTGAGCAGTTGACCACGATGTCAAAGGAGGGCTGGAGCTCCCACAGGTCTTCTACTCGCCGCGTGAGCATCAGGCCTCCACTCGCTTTTATTCTGGGAGAAAAGAGAGGCGTTAGGCTGGTGTCCTGACACTTTCAACAAGGAAAGAATGTAAACGTTGTTAGCTTTTGGTTGGGTTTGTTTTTGGGTTTTTTTTGGGGGGGGGGAGAGGAGTTAAGGTTTCCTGTAGATGAAATCTAGGCTAGGTAGATCTTAGAGACAGCAACTGGATTCATGATTTCCTGCGACTGTAGCAAGGGGAAGCGGGGAGACAATGGAAAGTGAGTAACAGGGAGTACAAGAAAGAAGGCAGTGTCTGAAACTGATTGTGCTGATGATTGTGCAACTCTTCTTGATGTGATTGCACTGCTGAATTGTGTGATATGTGGGTGATGTGCCAATAAAACTGTTTTTAAAAGAAGTATTTTTTTTAAACTGAAGGAAAATATTTCCAAAAATGTACAGGACAGGAACACACACACACACACACACACACACACCCCAAAATGAGGCAACAATTCAGAGGACAAACGCCTCAAGAACTCCCAGGGGCCCACCTTCTTCTCACTGCCATTGATTCAGAGAAGCACTGCCTCTATGGCTTCCAAGACTACATCTTGACGTTGGCAAAAGACCTCACCTTTTCTCCCACAGAGCTCGTGATGGGTTTGAACTTCAGGCCTTGCAGTTAGCAGCCCAACCCAGAACCCACTGGGCAACCAGGCCTCCTTACTTCCTGGGGCCCAAGCAGGCCAAACCCTAGACACCAACTGCCTCATATCCTTAGAAACTGGTGATTTCTGACACTGAACTTAAATAAGAACCTGTTTGAGGGAATTCAAAACAAAGAAAGGGAGACGTCCTGTCTCTTTTTTATGTTTTGTGGACTTCCTATGCCATTCTGAAGGACTCCTGGTTGTGTAGTGGTTATGAGTTGGGCTGATAACTGCAAGGTCAAGAAGCTCAAAACTACCAGCTGCTCCAAAGGAGAAAGACGGGGTTTTCTCCTCCCATGAAGAGTTACAGTCTTCTACATCCACAGGGCAGTTCTATCCTGTACTCCAGGGTTGCTATGAGTCGGCATTGACTCGATAGCAGTGGGTTTTAAGCTCCTATCATTCTGCCAAAACGAACAGCCACACCTGTGGCTGGTGAGTTGATTCTGACGCGCTGTAATCCCACGTGTTACAGAGTACAGCTGGCCCCTTCCGTTTTCTTGGTTGAAATCTTTGTGGAAGCAGATCAGCAATCCCTTCTTCTGCAGCACCACTGAGTGGGTTCCAATCACCGATCTTTAAGCTAATAACCAAGCCGTGTCACCCAACAATCTGAGGTTAAGTAAATACCAAATTCCCCTGGTATTTGAAACACCCAAGCGTTCCGTGTTCATGTCATTCACTTAATGCCTCCATTTCCCGCCTTGGACATTTTGTCTCATTGTGTTAATTCTCTGGACTAGTCAGAAGCAGTTAAGGCAAGACCCCATACATCCACCATAGGGTTGCAAACACAAGAAACATATGAGATATTTGCAGCTGATCATTTGGCTTGTTGATGATTTTCTGGGCCAACTCTATGGAATTATGAAAAGAAAGGACTTATCCAGGTTCTCTCATTTTTGTCACTTGTAGAAGTTCATTTGTAGAATTTAGGAACTCAAGGAAGAAAAGGAGACTACCAGCAACCCTGCCCAACAGATGCAGGTTGTGTGTCTGCGTGTGGGGCACACTGCGAAGTGGGACTGAAGATAGGTAGAGCATCAGGCTCATCGTCAAGGGGCTCCTCTGCAAAGGAGATGGAAGATGGAAGTGGACACCACCTCGTGTCACTTCTCAAGGGGTGTGTGGTAGTTACACAATCTGGTCAATCAGCTTGCAGCTTGATGACCTCATTTGGAGGTGCTAAGGAGATACATAGCTGGTTGGAGGAGGGAAACACACTCTCTCTGCTCACTCCCTGGGAGACATTGCAGCTGACAAGACACATGGAGCTATACTAGTGCCCTGAGCTGGAGGAGCCATGTGAAGACGCCTGCCAGCATTGAGATGCTTACAACACCACTGGATCCACAAGACTTCCCACCCACTGGCCTGTGATCTTCCTGCATTCGGTGTCATTGCATGTGTTTTGTGAGTCTGAAAAGGACTTTATAGATTGGTATCGGACATATGGGTTGTCGGACTTAAGGACTTGATCTAGACTGGGATGTTTTCTCAATATATAGTTGCCCTTTTATATAAAGCTCTTTCTTATACACAGCTGAGTGCCTATGAAATTGTTTATCTAGTCTACCCAGACTAACAAAGGGTGATTGTGAAGATCAAATGAAGACAAGGAAACGACAGTACCTTGAAAACTATTAAGCACAATAAATGATAGGGCACTGACAACAATACATTCTAAATTCCTCAAGGGAAGAGACTTTGTCTCATGCTTTGTGATAGTTATGTTTTGCATCAACTTTGCTGGGTCAGAATGCTCAGTGGCAGTTAAGACCTTGTAATCATTCTGATGAGACCTAGCACAATGTGATGTCATCTAATTCCAAGATGGGAATCTGCTATGAGCAGCCAAACAGCTATAAGAAGATTAGGGTGGAATGTAACACCCTTACTCAGGTCACAGCTATGATGAAATTGAAAGGAAATTCCTTCAGGGGTGTGGCCTACTTCCAATATAAGTGAATGCTGTGGAGAAGCTTGCTTGCTTTTTGCTGGGTCTGGATCCTTGATCTGGCTCACAGACCTCCTGTCCTTTGGATTTGAGCTAACAGCCTGCCATATTGCCTGCCAATCCTGGGAGCCAGTGGCCTGCCATCTGACCCACCAATCTTGGATTCATTTGCCTCTCCAATCAGAAGACTGACCTGATAACCTTGGATTCATCACCTTTGCAGCCATCAGCCTGTGGTGATCCTGCCATTATTGGGTTCATCAGCCTACAAGGCTACATGAGTCAGAACAAGTTTCCAGCTGAACATCTGACCCAGGGATCTGGTATATGCTTGGACTAAACTTTCCCACTTCTACAAATGTAGGAGCCATTTTCTTGATAATTTCTCTCCATATATAATATAGATAAGCATCATTAGTTTTGCTTCTCTACAGAACCCAACCTAAGAAAGACATAATTCAGTGCTCAGTACCTAGTGGACTTGAAGGAAGTGTTGACCAATACTGGAGACATAATGAAATCCGAGATTGGGTGGTATCACACTGGTGTTGTCTCTCTTTGGGTGCTAGAATTCATACCTGTACCAGAGGGATCTGGGACGGGCTGGCACTGGAAATGGAGATAGAGTAGGCCGCCTACTAACCTCCAAGAAAGCAAACGTGGTCATTCCAGACATTATGACCACCATCTACCTTCCAAGGCTAGATGAAGAGATGTTTAATGCTAAAAAGAAGCATAGGAAAGAATAGAAACTTCAGGAACAAAAGTAGGAGATGACTAAGAAGGTGGTCCACCACTCATCTGTCAGTTTTGTACTAGGGTGGCTTGTGTATTACTGTGATTGATGCTACAAGCTCTGCCACCAGTATTTCAAAGACCTAACAGGGTCATGCGTGGTGAAAAGGGTTTAGTGGCGCTTACAAACTAAGAACAGACTATGAAGAAATCATAGGGTATAGAACTGCCACAACCGGGTTTCCAAGGCTGTAAATCTTTACAGAAGCAGGCTGCCATTTTCTCCCCCAAATCAGCAGTTGTTTCAAACCTGCAACCTTTCAGTTCAACACCTAGTGGTTGACTATTGGGCCACCATGGTAGAACAAAAACAAACAACAAAAACCCTCATTGGCGTTGAATCAATTCTGACTCACAGCAAATTCATAGGACAGAAACCCTTTGGGTTTCTAAGACCTCAAATCTTAATGGACACTGATAACCTCATCTTTCTCCTGCAGAGTGGCTGGTGGGTTAAAACTGTTAATATTGTGGTTAGCAACGCAGTCTGCTTTGTGCATCATCACTTTAAAAAGAATTATCTATGTAGGATCAAGTGGACAATAGCAAAAACTTATATAAGATTGACTTCCAGCAAGATGGTGATGGAGTAACACATACCAGAGGGACTCTGTAGAAATCAGTGCAGGAGACCAACTCAGAGGGAAAGTCCACACTGCCGGGTCACAGGAGGGGCACCAAAAAGATAAGTAGCACTGATCCACTAGGTTTTAAGGAGCTGTGGGCTTTCGGCTTACCACTGGAGGCTAGCTAAGGTTTAACCTTATCCCTGCTACAGTCTTGGCCAGAGCTGGGCTTCTTTTGCTGGCCCAAGGCCTTTAATTCAACACAGGCACAGCTTGCCACTGCCTCTGGTCAGAGTTTAAACCCCGCCAGCCCCAAGGCCAGGTGATTGGGGCTCAGCTATGTCTTTACTTTTATTTTTATTTCTCTCTCTTCTCTCTTCCCCCCCCACAGTCTCAGTGGGCTCAGGTTTTTTTCTCCCTTCCCTTTTCTCTCACATGCCACTGCTAACCTCCAGGCCACTCACCATAGCCTAGGGCAATTATGCCTGCCCTCCAGCCAGCTAGGGGAGCTCTGCCCTCTACTGTGTAACATGAGGCTGGGGAAAACCCACCCACCTCCCACTGCAGAGAAATGCATGCTTACCCTCCAAGGCTGCTGGGGGAACTCCTGCCCACCCTTTGGGGGATTTCACTTGTCTGGGGGAACCTCATTCAATCTTTCACAGTGGTCTGTGAGGCTAGGGGAGCTACTGCCGATCCTCTGTGGTCCCACGTGGCTGAGGGAACGTCCTCCAGCCAGCCATAGTGCCTCACATGGCCTAAGCCAGCTCCACCAACACTCTCCAGTGCTCCATGCCGCTGCAGGAAACTCTGCCTAACCTGCACAGTGATCTAGCTGATTAGGGCAATTCCACCCCCACCCACAGTGCTCTACACCAAAGCAGGAACACCCACCTGCCTTCTGTGGCACTCCTGTTGCAGCAGGCACCCCCACACACCCTCTGTGATGCTCCAAGCTGCCGTGGGCCACACCAGTACAGCTTCCTGTGAGATCACTCAGTGCAGCACCATCCTATCGGG